ATGCTAGTGTGGCGCATGCCACAGGTCTACATTGCTGATGTGGCGCATGCCACAGGTCTACATTGCTGATGTGGCGCATGCCGCTGATCTTCATTGATGATGTGGCGCATGCCACCTGTCTCGACTGCTGACGTGGCATTGTCCACGCTGTCTACATGAGGTGACTGGTTGCTAGGAGGAGGGAGATCATGATCTATGGATGATTGGGTTCAGGTACTCACCCGAGGTTGACGTCGTCACGGTATTCTGCAGTCTTCATGGTCTTCACGAGATAAGAGCACCATGTGGCACTACTGTGTGATCAGGATTATTATACTTGTTATCATATACTGGTTGATGACGTGAGAGAGAAGCAGCCCGGAGAGGAAGTGGGGTTTGATGGGATTACTCTTGTGTGATCTTTGATCATATCTTCCACCTTCTCCTTTGTCTAATCTCCCTCCACTTTTTTCATCTATTGGTAATGAGGTACTGTTGTGGATATAATTTTCACGTTAAATGGAGACTTTGCACAGCTCTGAAAGGTGCTGACGTGGCACCCAGGTAAGTGGGAGGTGCCGCATGTGCAAAACGAAACACGTTTATTAACATGCGCGGTAAATACCACAAGTCTAGACATTGTAGTATTGCACGTGCGAGCAGCTGTCCCTTGAAGATGATGACGTGGCTGCACTGAAGACTTCAAGATACCAGCGGGAGCTTCGTTGGCAACAGGCTGACGTGGCGCTGGTCAAGAAAGAAATCAAGACCGCTGATTTGGCGCATTGCTTATGTGGCATAATGTGGAATGCTGACGTAGTATTGTGGAAGGGCATGGTCTGACATGGCACGTACCTGTGTTGCGATTTCCTGTTGTTGATGTGCTGACGTGGCATGTCGGTGTTGAGTGTGTAGCAGACCTGCACTGCGACGTGGCATCCCTCCTTGTAGACCTTTCCGGTCCTTGACGCTGACGTGGCAAAACTGCTGCGTTGGCATGCCAGGGGTGACACGTGGCATGCATACAGGCTGTTGAGGGTGAAGTATTGAGTGTGCACTTGGGTTGCATTGCTGCTGCAGATGGTACAACCAAAAGAGGAAGGAAACTAACCAATAATTGGTTGTTGTGTTGGCTTTCTACTCACTTGTTGATTGTTTGTGGTTGTTGTGTATACTTACGAGTGTGTTGTTGTCCTCATCACACTGGTCGTGGCTGCGATACCTGTACATTGTTGTAGAATGTCATCACACAGAAAACAGACAACAAAGTTAGATTAGGAAAGTAATTGAAAACTTGTTTCTTCTATAATTTGTCGTGAATACTTCTTGTTGTAGGAGTTGCATGTGTCGTGGAATTTATTTTTGTCTTCTGATTTTATTTATTGTGCGGCATCTACACGCTTGGAAAAATGTTTTTTTTCTTCTGGAAATGTTTGCGTGCTTCCAGCCTGACGCGGTTCATACCTCTTCTCTTCTTTCTCATCCCTCTCATTGTCTACGCTGATGCTGAAGAAGAAGAACTAAAGACCCGCGGTCAAATCGAGACAAGAAGACAGACTCTGCTTGGGTTACTCCACCAGTTGCTCGGGGAGATTCATGGTGTCGGTCTGGATGTTGAACGACTCGTTCACAAACAACTCAATCTGCTTGATGCAGAAAAAGAGTAGCAGGCCGCTAACACTGCCGTTCAGATGATGGAAATAAGCAAGAGAGTGGAGGAACTCATAAAGCAAGGGTGCATGGCCCTTGACCGGTATGTCACCGAGGGATTTGACAAGCTGGAATAGGAAAGGAAGAAGAGAAAAGAAGAGGAAAAAACAAAGAAAATAGAACCACAACTGTCTGTTGAGTTAATGGAAGAAAATGTCAGACAATTAGAAAATACATTGAGAGAAGAAAGAAGAAAGGTTGAAGAGTTCTGGAGACAACAAGAAGAGCAAGAAGAAGAAGAAATAGTTATGGATGAATTGAGGCAAAAATTTCATTATGAGGAAGCAGGCAATGAACTTGCGTTCATCCTTCAGTCTATCATGATTTACCTTGTTTCTCTTGAGAAGAAAATTGACCCTAACACTGCCTCATTAGAGACACTGACCAGACTCCTAAAAGGAAAAGGTAAGGTAGGAACTGGGGAGGAGACCAGAGGGACGTAGTCAAGAAAGAACCCCAAGAAAAATTCATGAAAGATGTAATGAAGCGAGTTACCCCAGGGAAACCCGAAGGTTCTAAAAAAAAACTCGAGAGACAGGTTGAGAAGAAAGAAGAACCCGCCAAAAAGGAAGAACCGGTCAAAGAGGCAGAGAAGGCAAAGAAGAAAGAAAAAGTCAAGATGAAATTGTCGTTCACGTACAAAAAAAACAACAACGAGAATCTGTTGTTGTGGATCGCCGAAATACAGACTTACTATGGAACCGCACCCGTTGAACCTGAAAGTCAAGTCGCTTTCTCTACGTCGTGTCTGGGAGGAGTGGCTAAGGAATGGGTGTTGGCCAAAGCCAATGCCACTGGTTTCAAGGATATCGGTGACTGGGCTAAGACCTTGAACCTCAAGCACTTTCTCCAAAAGATAAAGGAGAGGTTTCTTGATAAGACGATGACCGATAAGGCATTTGATGAACTCACCACAATAAGACAAAAGAGTTGGTCTTCAATTGATGCATTGTTTCGTGAGGTAGACCACCTTTTGCAAGTACGTGGGTTAAACTTACAGGACAACCAGGTCCTATACATCTTCTCACGTGCCTTGCTCGAGCCCATTTGTGGACAGCTCGTGGCAAAAACCAAGTCTGGTAAGTTTAACTATCGACAGTTTCGTGATCTCGCTCTCCAACGAGAGCAGATGACCGCACAGGTAAAAGAGTCTTACGTTTTGGTAGTAAAGTCAGGACCAGTTGGTGGGTACGGTAAGCGAGTCTTTTGACGACAAAAACGCCAGGACCACGTGTTAGTTGTTTTTTATAATGACACCGTAGAGAAGTTACACCTTGACGAGTCTGAGGGAAGAGGAGGTAATGGCGGCAGTGAATCTGGGAAGGGTGATGTCACTGCCGTTGTGGCCAAAGTCGGTGGAAGAAGAAGAGGAGGCCACACTCGTTTCCCAAGCACCCCGGCATTGCGTTCGGAAAACCTTGGGAGAAGATGAACATAACGCATGAGGAATGGCAGTCTAAGATGGATAATCGTCAGTGCCTCAAGTGTGGCACTGTGGGGCACGTTATAGCCTGATGCCCACTTATCAGAAACCCAAAAGCGAGCAACCACTAAGAGTAGCATCTGCTCCTACTGAGTCAAAGGGTTTAGACAAAAGTAAAGATAAGGCGCCAACAAACCCTTCTAACCCCTTGACTCTTAAGGCAGAGGATGACTCTTCTTCCGCCCATCGTCCAGTACACCCTGACACTGTACTCTGTTCTGTCTCACTGAACGATTTTATTGACGAGCTCGACAATGAACTTATAGCACTTCGGAGTTCGTGGGCGAAGAAAGCTAAGTCTTAGGGTGAGTTGATGATCACGGATATTGAGATTGCGCACACGCGAGTAGGTGCCCTATTAGATTCAATCATTCAGGATCAACGCGGTTTTACATCTCAGAGAAGGCAATTTGAAAATTGCATCTGGGAATGAAGGTAAAAGATTTACCTCGACCTATCACGTCTTTGCTGGCTGACAAGAGCACGATCACTGTCTCTCAATACGTCGATAGTCTTAAGTGTCACTTCAGGACCAAGGAAGGAAAGAAGATCTTACATGAGATATCCTTCTTAATACAAAAGAACCTTCCATTTGACATGATTTTGGGAATGGATTGGCACGAGGAAGCCAACCCAGAGGTAAGGTTCAAAGGTAAAATTGTCAAACTCAAAGACGAGAAGTCCGAACTACGTGCGATTAAATTGTATCACGGATCTGACTCTGACTTCGCTTTGTCTTTTTGTTGTATGAGTTATCCAGTCTTTCGTTCGATGGTAGTAAAGAAGAAGTTGGATCAGGAGGTGGTGATGGTGTTTGTCAAGCGAATCGGTGAGTGTTCCTCATTTTATCGAAAAACTTCTCGATGAGTACAAGGACGTGCAGACTGAGCCGACGGGAATCACTGGGCGTGCTATTAAGCACACGATCGAGATCATTCCCGGAAGCAAGATTTGAAAGGGTCCCATCTACCGAATGTCTCATAGGGAACTTAAGGAACTTCGACAACACTTGGAAGAACTTACCGACAAAGGATGGATTCGACCTGACTCATCTCCCTATGGTGCGCCCGTCTTATTCGTGCCCAAAAAGGAAGGTGAACTTCGCCTATGTATAGATTATCGTGGGTTGAACTCCGTCACTGTAAAAACCGCGGAACCACTTTCGCGCATTGACGACCTGTTGGATCCGTTGCAAGGATGCAGGTACTTTAGCAAGATTGATCTCAAGTCAGGGTACCACTAGATCGAGGTGGCTCCTGAAGATCAACATAAGACGACTTTTTGAACCAGGTATGATTATTACGAGTTCATGGTTATGCCTTTCGGTTTGACCAATGCGTCTTCGACCTTCCAAACCTCACGCAAAGACTCTCTATTTGGAACACAATCGTTTATTTCCTGCGTTCTCAAGGAATAGCAAGCCGTTGACCAACTCAAACTCTGCAGAAGTCTTTTTGTCCTTCGCCTCGAGTCTGCATATGATCTTAGACATAAATTGGTCCTCGCGATAGGCTTCCACCAAAGGGCGAGTTACATCGTCCGTCATATCGAACTCAATTATCAGCGCACCTGAGAAATCAGGTCTACGCGACAAGGCATCCGCAACCTTGTTGTACTCCCCTTTCAGATACTGGAGGTCAAAGTCATACTGCTCAATGACTTCGATCCAGCGCTTCAAAGCATCAGAAACTGCTCCATGACTTCGATCCAATGCTTCAAAGCGTCAGAAAGCACCGGCTGAGTTCTCATCCATCTCAGAGTCTGATGATCAGTTCTGAGAATGAAGAACCTCCCAAGGAGGTAGTGCCTCCAATGGGTCAAAGCCTTGTACACCCCATAGAGTTCATTCTCATAGGTTGATTTTGCCAACTTCAGAGGCGACATTTTCTTAGACGTGTACTTGACTGGCCTCAACTTTGGCCCCTCCTGCTGCACAAGCACGGCGCCAATGCCATATTGGCTAGCATCCGTGGTAACCACAAATGGCTTGTCAGGATCCGGAAGTTTCAAGACCTCATAGTGCATCAACGCATGCTACAGATGTCTGAAAGCAGCCTCGCACTCGTCTGTCCACTCCCATGGGGTGTCAAGGCGGGTCAGATCAGTCAAAGGGGCGGCCACTATGCTATAGTTCTTTATGAAAGTTCTATAGTAACCTGTCATCCCTAAGAAAGATCTCATCTCAGTCACAGACTGAGGACGTGGCCAATCACGAATGCTGGCCACCTTCGCGYCATCGGGCTTCAACCCTTCCGTGGAAATCTCATGACCCAAGTACAAGATACGGGTGTGGCCAAATTCGCACTTCTCACCGTTAATCTTGAACTTGTGTTGACGAAGGAGACTGAGGACTTTATCTAAGTGTGCCACGTGCTCCTCGACAGTCCTGCTAAAGATAAGTATGTCATCGAGGTACATGATAATAAACTTGTCTAAATAGTCATGAAAGATCCGATTCATAGCGTGTTGAAAGGTGCCAGGAGCATTGCACAGACCAAATGGCATCACCACAAACTCGTACAGACTGTACCTGGTCTGAAAGGCGGTTTTGTGCTGATCCTCAGGCCGAATTGCAATCTGATGGTACCTGGACTTCAGATCTGTCTTACTGAAGTACCGACACCCTTGCACTCTATCAAGCAAGTCGTCGATGCGTGGTAGGGGCTCCCTGTTCTTCACTGTGATGGCATTGAGGCCCCTATAATCAATGTACATCCTCAAAGTGCCTCCCTTCTTTGGAATGAATAAGACTGGAGACCCATAAGGGGAGACACTCGATCGGATCCAACCCTTCTCTATGAGTTCCTTGAGTTGGCGGCGAAGCTCATCAAGCTCGCCTGGAGACATCCTATAGATCCTACCCTCTGGGATGCTAGACCCTGGGATAATCTCTATATCGTGGACGACCTCCCTCTCAACAACCCCTGTTGGCTCTTCAAATAGATCGGGGTATTTGGCAACTACTCCCTCTATCTCCAACGGCATTTTCACCGGCTCGCCTGCAGCAGAGACGTAAACTAGATACGTACCCTCCTCCTGATGTTGCTTATAATAATTATAGAATGCGGCCGCAGACATGCATCTGTGAGACTCAATCAAACTACTAGCTTTGAACTTATGTAATCTGGCGGTCCCTCCACCTGGCAAAGTGTGTTTGACCACTTTTCGATCCCAGTTGAACTGGGGTTGTGCAACAGAGAGGTCGTACATACCTAACAGTATGTCCATGGGGAGATCGTCGCTCACCAGGAATGAGACACGATGCCTCAATTCCCCTCCCGCGTACGGGAACAGGCACTCAACGTCCTGGAGGTAGTCGTTAACTATTATGCGCTGTTTGTTGGCACAGGTCGATTCCACAGGTCGACTCAGGCGCTGCACTCGCCCCTGTAAGCGCAGCCTCTCAACGCATGCGCGACTAATGAAATTCCTCGTCGAGCAAGTGTCATAATAGGCCCCGGTCTTGCGACCGCCAATGACTACCTCACTGATGAACATTTCAGCCTTAGGAGCTTTGACTAGTACCGTCCAAGAAGCTAGTGGGTCTGATCTAGACCACTCCTCCTCTAGCTCCTCTAAGGACTCAAAACACATTCATCGAACAGAGGGTCGATGGGTCCGAATGTGTTTGCGACAGGGGAGTCAGTAGCTTGGGCCATCTCTCGAGATGGTGAGGGTGTGTCCACCACCTCGACCCTAGCAGGAACAACTACCATTCCAACTGGCCCGGCGTGATTCCCGGAGCAGTGCCTGAAGTACTGGCAACATTGCTACGAACGGGAGCGGAGGATCCTACCGCCTGCCCCATAGTAGGCGGGATCTTCTCGGTAACCTTCTTATTTCGGCACTTGAATTGGTTATGCCCATATTGACCACAACGAATACAAGCTTGCCGGGTGTACCGGTCTCTCCACACGTCCTCTGCGAGACTCACTTTCTCCCATGGAGGAGAATTGGGGTCAACTTGACTCCTGGACCGGGAGCCTCCTCGGCGTCTACCAGTCCCCTTGCCTTTTTGTTGCGTTACGCCAACGACTACTCCACCCTCTGAAGCCTCTACGCTGCCTTCCTTTGAACCAGCTCCCAACTGGGGTTCGTCGTCCAACTCGATGGTTGAGCCATCGTTGTCGACGAACATGATGCTCCCCTTCGCCTTCCAGTTGGGAGGCAGTGCCTTTTTCCTACCGTCCGTCGATGGGTTATGTCCATGCCCTATCTTTGCTTCAAGGTCTAGGGCCTTCTTGCTGAATTATGGAAAGTTGTGCACATTGATGTTAGCCTCTACTGCCAACTGATTCCTGATTGGCATCGGCAGACACCTCAGGTAAGTCGTCAGTAAGACCTGGGGGTCATAGCGGACCCCAGGGACGCAAATCAGATGCTCTACTGCGTCTGTGGCCTCCCTAACTGACTTGAACGAGCGAGCGCTCAATGTCAGGATTGCGTCAGTGGCCTTTTGAGCCTCCTAAGGATCATGCCACCTCTCCTCCACTAACTTGAGGAAGTCATCCAGCTTCTGGCTGGCAGCCCAAGCGCGAAAGTCATGACCGTATTCCTGCAGCTGCACTAACCCACACAACCATCTTGCTGCACTACCCTCTAAGTAGGATGCAGCCACAAGCACTTCCTCGTGCGGCAAGGTCAACTTACACTTAACATATACCGGCACCGCCCTCAACCAGGTGTCGAGGTCTTCGCCCCTCTTATCCCCTGAAAAAGTTTTAGGAGCAGCGATTGCCGTCTTCGGAACCCACTTTGTTTGTCCCTGCATCTGTCCCACGCTTGGCTGTGGACTCTGGGGAACAGGCTGTTGCACCTGTTGCTGCTGGGGTTGTAACCCCTGCGGCTGCACAGGTTGCGGGACAACAGATTGCCCACTGATGGCAACCTGCGACGGAGGTTGGGATAACACTGACTGTACAGGAAATTTGAACACTAGGTCCTGCTGATTACCCTCCTGATAGCGGCATGCCCAGGGAAACGATAGCGACCGATGATGGGGCTACATATGGGGATACCCCAGTAACGGGTGGGACAGAAGGAGGAGGATGTGCCACGGGCCAGGCACCAGGCCTTGACGGTAATGGAGCCGCCTGCAATCGTCCAACCAGCCAGGCTAGACTCTGCTGAATGTCTTGGAGGACGGCAGTCTGATGGTCCTGCATCTCTATGACTCCTAGTAGGGCCCTCCGTACTACTCTCACATCCGCATCCATGTTGGTCAGATCCATTTCCTCTAACTACCTAACGTCCGCTTCTCTTCGCTGCATCCTGGCTACTCTTCTAATCATTCTCTCTTTCTCCGCCTTTATCTCCCCTAAAGCCTTCCATAGTTGTGCCTCTTGCAGGGAAGCCTGCTGTATGGCGATCTCCTCGGGTGACAACACATTTGACTGGCTTGCCATTACGCCAGCCGACTGACTCCGGGTCTACGCCGCAATTGACCCCACAGTTCCTGAACTCCCAGCCTGAGAGGTTTGCTGTGCAGCGCTAGCCATGACTGCTGAAGTAGCGGCTTCACCTACGAATGCCCTGCTTGCTTCTGCGTCCCTAGCTATCTGCTGCTGCCGCCTCCTCTCCCTAAGCTGTCGGAACAAGGCTCTGTCACCCTCTGGTCCTAAGGCCAAATGGGCAACCGGGCGTCTTGCTGAGTGCAGGATCCGGTGGTCTGGTTGCTGTTCCTCCCTATCACTCATAGGCTACAGCACTGAGCACAATCTGCACTAGATTACTCTAGGTACCTACCACAGCGTAATGCCCAGACAAATTTAAAATAAATAAATAATTAATTGGTGGCTAATTCGGAGTAGATACATTTGGGTCCAACAGGTAAGTGCATATTCCTACAAATGATACTATCCTATTTTGATTAGCTCACAAACAGAAAGCACAATGAATAATACTAGTTATAAACTATGCTGTCTGTCAGATGTCAATGGCTGTCCATCTAACTAATCAAAATAAAAACAATATCATCTGTTGGGTTTGTTCACAACATGGAATCTTTCTCAAACTTATCACCTGGAATCTACCCTTCCCCAATTCCCCTTGATTGTCACTTAACATCAGCGTCCCTGAGCGATCCGGTAGCGTGCGTGAATAAAGGTGTGCACACGGCCCACCCCTGTGCCCCGAGTAGCTGCTGAGTTGGCGAGCCCTGCACAGTGTTTACCCTCGCGTGCAGTGAGCCTTACACCAACTGGCTGATCAAGAGGCAATTTAACGACCGCCCCCAAGTGTCTCTAGGAATTATTTTACGTCGCAGCCGGACGACGATCACAGCCAGTGGTTTCCCCTGGCGGTGTTTATTTATAGATGCCCGGTACTCGTCTCTCCCATAGGGCTGGCCTGCCCTTCAGTACCCCTTCTATGAGCGCAGCAAGCAGACAAGGACAAAGAAGCAAAGCATGCGTGCTCTACTCCCGGTGGGTTGGCATGGTGACCGTGACCCAGTGCTCCGTCCAGGCCCCTTTAGAAAGCACCGCCCTCTCCTTCCAGATGCTCCACGGGAAGTATGTCGACTCTCAAGGTTGAGCGCACACAACACCTCATATGAGAGGACTCTCAAGATGGAATTCACAACCTCACGGTAAGAAGTGATGAAGAGGGTAGATAAGGTTAAGAGCAACGTACCTCAATATAGCTGCCCCCAACCACAAATATTCTCACCAGATGACCTGATGGCGATTGCGATGACCAGTCACTGCATCGGCACAACCAGCATTGTCTCGCCATTCCACCTCAGCATCAATCAACCACCAGATAGTTCTCATCACACTGCGAACACCCAATATACACACCGTAGCCTTCCAGGCGATCCCCTCACCTCCTGGGTCGCCTAATCTTGTCTCCGCCCTCCTCACTACACACCGCCTACGGCCACACTCACCAAGCGGACCGCATGTATGTACCGCATAAGGCAGAAGACAAGCGCCAGATGAGCGCAACGTACCACAGCTCCGATACCAAATTGCAAGGAAGATGAGCGATAACGAACTCAGCAATCAAACAGCATCATACACATAAGACCAGATAGTCGTAACCTCGAACCAACAGCAGAATTGCATCACGAGTTTCACCAAATAAGAACACACCAAGAGCTCATAATTGACAATGCTGAAATAGTCTCATCATCATCATCAACGAAGAACCAATGTTGATATCCTATCTGGCGCTCGGCGCCCAGACTACAGATGGCAGATCCTATCTAGCCTATACTACAATGCCGAAGATGACGACAACAGCTTCACCGAAGTACGAGCAGATATCAGCCAATGCCGCACGCTTCCAGCACCAGGTATGTCTCTCGCTTCACTCACAACCTCGTTCCCCAACACACAGATGCCACATGCACCCAAGGACCACCCTGCGCCACACCCAGCTTACAGCAGCGCAGCTCGGCTATGGCTGCCCGCTCCTTCCTGCTCACCCGTGAGCGCGTGAGCGCTGGCCAGCAAATAGCGCAACAGCGCTTGCGCAGCATGCAGCCAGCACCCGAATGCCAAATGAGGACGCAGGTCCTTTGCTATATGGAAATGGCCTGCCTGCTTGCTGTCCCAGGCTGCACTGGGCCTTTCCCAAGAAGCTTCCGGTAGGCCCCGGTAGGCTGAGGCCCAGTCCGCACATCGCAGGCCCTGGGCCCGTAGTGGTTGCTCGCGCCCAACTGTCAACGGCCTGTGTTAGGCCCACATCCCAAATCCAACCCAGGGCCTGCCTTCGATACATTCACACAGGCTGCCCAGGGTGTGGGTTCCTTCAACCGACTCGCGCTGCACAACTGCCTGAATTTCCTGAGTTGTGTGGTGACCAAAATAAGGGCCCTCAGGCCCTCGTCGAGCCTGCCTTCACATAGGGTGGCCGACGTGCTGCATGGTAGGGCCAAAAAGGGGGCTCATCGGGGCTTCAGCCTCGCACTTGTAATTACTTGTTGAAATTCTGAGTTGCGCTACATGGTCTTCATCTCTCTGGCCTCCAGTGTGAATCTCGTGTGATCTCATACATGCATGTGGTGTGATTGTGTGTGCTCAATGATGTTGAACTAAGAGGCTCGTTGCATGATGGTTTAGAAACAAATAAAACAAATAATCGAACAGCAGAAAGAAAAAAGTTCGCAAGTTTGCAGTAATTCTGAATTTAAAAAAGAATGAAATTCGAAATATTCCAGATGAAAGCAAGCACAACAGTTTTCGATTTTTAGAAGTATAGTCCACAAACCACGAACTGCGAAGAGAGGGTTCCGGGAAAAAAAAAAGGGGTTACAAATGCAGCGAAAATTTCGAATTTTGAAAAGTAAGAAAATCGGAAATTTCAGCTACTAATAATGCGCAATTCAGAATTTGCAAAAAAAAACAAGATCACGATAGCGAAGTTCAAAAATAGTCTCCCTGCCGAATGTCTGCCGCAAAAATGTGGAATCAATCCTGGGCCTTGTAGCCCGACATAACCTCTGCCTGTAATCTCTCTCTCTCTCTCTCTCTCTCTCTCTCTCTCTCTCTCTCTCTCTCTCTCTCTCTCTCNCTCTCTCTCTCTCTCTCTCTCTCTCTCTCTCTCTCTCTCTCTCTCTCTCTCTCTCTCTCTCTCTCTCTCTCTCTCACTCACTCTCTCTGATAGAAGACGAAGAAGAAGAAGAAAAAGAAATAAGAAGAGATGGAGGCGAGAACAGGAAGAAGAAGAAGATGTCGTCCTCC